CAGAACGGCCACAGCCCATCTTCACTGAAAACCCGAAGTCTTGGTAGCCCTAGTGAAAAGGCACGGTTAGAACTGAAATCTAAGTTCACGGCCCTCAAACATTGTCTAAAACATACTTGGAAGCTGGGTGTTGGTGGCACACACCTTTAATTCCAGCACTCAGGAGGCAGAGGTAGGTGGAGCTCTGTGAGTTCGAGGCCAGCCTGGTCTACAGGGCGAGTTCCAGGGCAGCCTCCAAAGCCAAAGAGAAACTCTGTCTCGAAAAACCAAAAAACAAAACATGCTTAGATATGTGTGGAGGTGAGAGGCCAAGACTTCTAGGGAGAAGAGAAACAGGGCTACTATTTAGAGCTAGCAAAATGCACAGAGGTTAAAAAGGCAAAAGAAGAAAAGGAAGTGAGACATTCAGTTTACAGTGTCCCTCAGGGGAGCCTCTCCCACAAAAGATGATGTCGTGAATATAAAGAATCATCTCAGTGGCTCAGAGGTTAAGAGCACTGACTGCTCTTCCAGAGGTCCTGAGTTCAATTCCCAGCAAACACATGGTGGCTCACAACAATCTGTAATGAGATCTGGCGCCCTCTTCTGGCATGTGCAGACATACATGGAGTCAGGATGTTGTATTCATGATAAATAAATCGTAAAAAAAAAAAAAAAGAAGCATCTCATATTTACGCAGGGTGAGCAGAGCTTGTCCCACACAGCATACAGAGGGGGTGTTGTTACATCGGCATCTAGTCCTGATGACTATGCCTTCAATCCCGTGCAGAAAGCAGAGAGGGAAATCTAGAAGTGGGGCTAGGCTATGAGCTCTCAAAGCCCGCCCCTAGTGAAGTACTCCTCAGGCAAGGCTCCACTCCCTATATAACCTCCTCACACAGCGCCGCCTACTGGGCACCAAGGGTTCAAGGTGCGTGAATTGGCGGCATCCCGTACCCGAACCACCAAGAACAATCTTCTCTGTGGCTGAGTTTGACGTTGCAAACATCTACAAGGTCCCCTCACGCCTGAGCCACGCACCCCTCTCCACCCGGCTTTTGATTTCCGTCGTGTTTGGAGGTAAGGAAATGGGACAAGGTAGAATTTCCTTTCGGTTAGAGGTGCAAAGGTCCTGGGGGCGGCGGGGGTGTAGAGGAAGATGGGTGAGCTTAAATTTCTTCCGAGGGCGAACCTGGGTATCTAGGGAACCTAAGAGTGGGGAGAGTCTTGTGCAGGCCCAGACTGTGGCCCCTTCTTCTAAGGCAGTCGCTCACAGGCCACCCCAAGGGACTGGAGCGGAGAGCAGAGCCATTAACCGACAGTCGGGTCTGACCTCACCGGCGCCTTTTGACCCGTCTGGGAATCACGGAAGACTGCCTTCCCTGTCAAGTGAAGAGCCGCTGAACGCTGGTGCCTTTGGGACCTGCTGGGGCTACCCTGTAACAGACGCCCACCGCTCTCACGAGAAAAGTGACCGAGTGGGTAACAGCTCAGCCGCCAGGGCTCACATGGTGACGTGAGTCCTGGGGACTCACCCACGTTGTCCTCTGACTTCCATATATATGCACACACATACAAACAAGCAAGTAAATGATTTTAATTTTCCTGCAAGCCAAAAATCTTCTCTTAAAGAATTACTTTACTTTTAAAACAAATCCTGTGTGTGTGTTTGTTCCTGTGCAGGTGCTCACAGAGCCCAGAAAGAGGGTGTCGGATGCTTTGGCAGTCACTGGTCGTGAGTGCTGTGAACCGAACTCGGGCCCTCTGCAAGAGCCGTACGTGCTGTTGACTGCCTCCAGCCTCTTGAGAAATTCCTAAAGGAGGCAAGTTGGGAATGACATATTCCATTGTAAGAGAAAAGGCTAAGGGGCTATGCGAAGGAAGCCAGGGAGTCCCCTTCAGTCCCCTCCCTATGCCTCAACCGCCAGTTCCCACCGCATATCCTCCCTCCTGGTAAAGTCTTTCCAAGGCTGAGGAGGTAGTGCAGCTGATAAAGTACCTCTGGTAAATATGAAGACAGAGTCCCATCCCAGCAGCAGGGGATGAGACAGGAGGATCCCTGGGCTCACTGAGCAGCCAGGGGAATCATGAGCTGCAAGGTAATGCCAGAGCTTGTCTCAAAAATTAGAAATGTACATGGTACCCGAGGAACCACATTCAGGCTGATCTCTGGCCTCCCCATGTGTGCGCATGCACACGCACACACACACACCACACACTCACACAAACACACTCACACACACCACACACTCACACCACACATACTCACACACACACACCAGACACACACACTCACACCACACATACTCACACACACCACACACACATGCACACACTCACACACTCATACATACCACTCACATACACACCACACATACTCACACACACCACTCACACACACACCACAGACTCACACACGCACACACCCTCCTCAAACACACACAGTCCTTCCAACTCTTCTACTGCTCTCCTTCCCTCTGGGCTCTCTGTGCTTTCTTCATGACCGTCTGTCTACAGCCACTGTTACTGAATGTTCCTACAAACAGCTTCATTGAGCGACAGTTCACATACCATTAACTCACTTGTTTAAAATGTATAATCCAATGGCTTAGGGCATATTACATTATTAAGTTTCTAAAGCTACGGTGCACTTACACAAATAAAAAATTTTCCGTTTTAACTGTTTTCTATTGTACAACCCAGTGCCTGTAATTATGTGGTTACCGCAGATTCCAGAACTTAAAAAAAATCACCCCAGACAGAAGTTCGAGAACTCATTAAGCAATAACTCCTGACCCACCCTGCTCTGGCTGGCTCCGGCTCTACTCTGTGTTCTGCCCTGTGACCCTGCTGACTAAACACCTCCTGTAAGCCGACTCACGCATACTCCTTTTGTCTGGTTAATTTCTCTTAGCATGTCTTCAGGGTGCATCCATGTTGCAGCATGTGCCGGGCCCTCTCTCCTTCTTATCGCCAGATGATATTCTGCGTTTTGTTACCCCTCCAAGAGGCTCCCCTCCCCCTTTTATCCAAGACACGATATCGCTATGTGCGTAAGCTGACTCAAACTTGCAGTCCCCCTGCCTCAGCCTCCTGAGTGCTGGGATTGCAAGTGTGCACCATCATATCCAGCTGGACCAACTGCTGATGCCCCCAGTTTTTTTTTGTACTCATCGTCACAGAGTTCCTTTTCACCCCACAGTGTTGGGGAACAACCCAGGGACTTGAGCAGTCTAAGCAAATGCCACTGAGCTGACCCTTGGCCTTATCCAGAGGGACATCTGTACCAACACACGCCAGCCCACGCCACCTCTCTGCTCACAACCCTTTGTCAGCTGGACGTAAAGACGCCCCTTGTGGTCTGAGATGATTCTGTCCGTAAAGCATCTGAGCTTGAACCCCGGAACCCACATGATAAAAATCATGCTAGGAACCCTAGCCGAGTGATAAAGACAAGGAGATCCCGGTGCTCACAGGCCAGCCAACCTAGCCTTCTTGGGGAGTTCCAGGCTGGTGGGAGGCCCTGTCTCTAAAAGAAGAACAAATAGATGATGTATGACCCCCAAAGTTGTCCGCTGTCCTCCTCATGTCTGCACACATGTGTACCCGTTAAGCAAGGGCTTCAGATAGACAGGCAAGGGCGTAGCCAGGCCTTTAGAACCTGAGCTGGGTCTATCAGAGTCTCCAAAGTGCCAGACGCCCCTTTTCTCTATTCTAGACACCCCAGACTTTCCATCCTTCTCCAGGGATCAGCTCGGCTTCTTCCAGATTTCATCCTTTCTGACCCTCTTTCTTCCTTTAATATTTCTATTGTTATTTATTTACGTGTACATGTGTATGTATGCATATGAGTGAGACAGACAGAGGGATTTGGAATTACTGGAGTTTCAGAGAGTTGTGAGGGGCCAGATGTGGGTGCTGAGAGTCAAACTCAGGTCCTCTGCAAGAACAGTGTGTGCTCTTAACCCCTGAGCCGTCTCTCCAGCCGAAGTCCCTCTTTCTAAAACGTTCACACGCTTCCAGATGCCCAGGTCCTGCTAGCTCATATGTAGAAGCCAACTCGGGCTATGTTTCTCGTCTGTCTAATCACAGCGAGTTTCTCTGACGTCACACTCCCCACACCCTGGTCCTCCCATCACTCTGTCGTGTGAGCGCTTCAGCCCCAGTAGTCCCTGTGAGTTGAGAAACCTTACCTATTCTCCCAGCCTCAGTTTCCCCAGTGTAGGATATTCACGTTGAACTTACGTCCCACGACTAATGAGGTTGTGCTTTTAAAAAAGGTTTAGTGTGTATGTGTGAGTGTGTGTGAGTGTGTGATGAGTGAGGGCACCTGTGGAGGCCAGGGCTTGGTTCCCCTGGAGCAGAGAGATTCAGGTTGGTTGCAAGCTTCTGGCACTGGGATCTCTTAGACTCTGAGCCATCACTCCAGGCCCAGGCTGTGCTTTTGTTGTTGTTGTTGTTGTTTTTTGAGACAGGGTTTCTCTGTATTGTTTTGGAGGCTTGCTTTGTAGACAGGCTGGCCTCGAACTCACAGAGATCTGCCTGCCTCTGCCTCCCGAGTGCTGGGATTAAAGGCGTGCATCACCAACGCCCGGCCTGTGCTTTTTTTTTTTTTAAGTAGATTTTTTTTAAAGTTCGGTCTTGCAGACTGGCTCCCTCTATACAAACACCGATATTTAGCATTTTCTTCCCATCCTCAGGATCTCAGTTTGGTCGGCCTAGCCCCTGCCTCTTTGGATCTTAGTGGCCACCTCCGAGACAGTGCCACAGGGAGGCAGAGCGTCTGTCTGTCCACATGCTCTGTTGATCCGGCCTTGGCACTCCGTGCTCTGCTCCGGGAGTCGGGGCGGAGCTGTGAGCCTGGCCCCGCCCTTGGGCCTCGTTATCTACGTTTCTGCGTCAGGCGCTGGGTGAACTTGGCAAGCCCTCCTGGAGGCGGATGGGGAACACGTTGTGCCCTGCGCCCGCCCGCTGGGCCCTCCTCCTTCCCGCCGGCGCCGCAGGGCCTGGACGCCAGCGCTGTCCCTAGGTCTGGGGTCTTTGGAACCCGAGTACCTCGCACCTGGACCGCAGCTCCGAACTCCCACGCTTTGTCCCCAGCGTTGTCACTGATAGCTACAGGCGTGTGGACACCGCGCGTAGTCAAGCGGGTCATATAGATGCCCGTGCCCCATTTTAAAACAAAGCTCAATTATAAGCGCGCAGCGGCCTGTTTATCCCAGCCCAGCCTCAGATCCCCGAGGGCTGCCGTCAGATAGCACCCAGAGGAAGTTCCATCCCGACAGAAAGAGCCGGGTCCGGACCCAAGTGACCCGTTTGAGACCCTCGGCTCGTTCAGGTGCCGACAGCAAGAGCCTAGGCAGGCAGATGTGGAGAGTGGGGGGCGGAGGACTCAGTCTCCCATTCGGTGCAATGGGACGTACTGCGTGCTGGGTAACCAGACTGTACTTCGCGCGCTGACGGTGGGTGGCAGGGGTAGCAATGCCTCCGCCTCCGGGAACCCCATCTTCCCACGGTCCCCACTCCCCCCTGGCCAGGGCTGCACGCGCTGCGCTGCTTCTAAAGTGCGTCACGGACCGCACCGGCCGCGCAGCTCCACCGGCCTGGGTGAGGCTGGCTCCGGGCCAGCGCAGGCTGGGCCAGCAACGCCTGGGCCATCACCCCGCCTAGACACCCGGGCGTAGAAAGCGCTCAAGTTGCGCAGCACCGGGATCGCAGCCGGGGACACTCCGCTAGGGGCTCGGCGCCCCCCGGTCGGCCTCTGCAACCCCCGGGGGCACGAGGTGACAGCCCCCTCAGTTCCTTAGGCGCGCGGAGCCCCAGAGATTTCTTCAGGATCAACTACGCGGCGGCCTCCCCCGGCTCCTTGCCCCGCCCCGGGTCTCCGCCCCCTCCCCTTGGCTAGGGACCTGGACCCGGCGGCGACCGCCTAAGAAGCTCGGGCAGCCCGGACCGGGAGGCGGCTGGGGGCCGCGGAGCCGCTGGTCACCGACTCTCCCCGCCATGTGACTCGGTCCTCCTGCCCGCGACCCCAGTGCCAGCGCCCGCGCCCTGCCGCGCTGAGCATCATGCTCCTGCCGGGACACCCGCGCCCGCCGCCCGCGCCCCAACCCGCGCAGAATCCCGGCCTCCGCAGGCAGGTAGAGCCTCCCGGGCAGCTCCTGAGTCTCTTCTACTGCACGGTCCTGGTGTGCTCCAAAGAGACCTCGGCGCTCACCGATTTCTCTGGTAAGAGCTCCCTTGCTTGCCTGGAGCCCGCGTTCCCCTCGCTGTTGTCCAGGTGAGGCGTGGTCCGGGGGCTGACTCTGCACGGGGCACGACCTGGTTGGATTAAAGTTAAAGTGTGTGCACTCCCTAGCAATTTTCTTGCCTGGTGGGAGCCCTTGGTGTTTAGGTGATGGTATCGGGGGAACCATCTTTTCCTGACGATATTTCGAGTTGTTCGCGGTGTTCGGGACACCAGCAGCCCAGCCCCGACCTTCATGTGTTCTCTGGAGGATTCCTAAATTGAGAGCCGTACCACGCCCAGCGCTGGAAGACAACCGTGTTCTGGGCGAACAGAACAGTTGAGCTTGGCTGGCCACCCACACGATTAAGGGTGCGTCCCAGCTAGACTCCAGGGTACCCATGTAAGGAGACTAGACCAGGGCACGCTGGACCTGAAGTCCAAGGCGGACGGTCCCTAGGGAAGGAGCCTGGGAAGATGGGAGGTCTGGTAGAGATGCCTTGGGAGACGACGGCAGAAAATACTCAAAGGCATGACTTTACAGCCAAAGGTGCCAGCACGCCCCACGCGCCAAGCGCCCAACACACCTACACTTCCTACACACACACCCTGACTTCCTCCTGCCAAGTCAAAGGTCGATGCTTTTCTTTGGCGAACTCCTATCCAACCTCGGCAAAAGATCTCAGCAAGCTGTGGGGCGGCAGGTGGCAGGTGTGGCGGTGATGGCTTTTAGGAGGTGACAAATGTCTTTACAGCTGTAACAGCCCCATCTGGGCTCCATCTGCCCTACAGCTTTCTCCATCACTCCAGGACGCATCTCTGCGACTCTCTCTCCCCTTTCTCTCAGCACCTTCTGCCCAGCCCAGGCTGGGCACAGACTCTTAACAAGCCCCTTGCTACAGGGTTTTTGTTGTTTCCTTTTCAGTATAATCGTGGTAAACAGTCTCCCCTCCGTTCTGCCTGTGCGGCAGCCTACCAGGCAAAGAAACTGGGAGAGCAGACTTGAGCTGGGTTCCTGGTTTGCTTACAGAGAATGTCATTCATTGTGAGCTGAGAGCCCTGAGGTCAGAGGTTCTTTGCTTAGAATATTTAATATCAAGGCAGTGTTCCTGCCTGGCCAAGGAAGCCAAGATACGCCTGTTTGGCAAGCAAACCAAGGCCCTTAAAAACAAGGCAGCCACAGAGAATCAAAACTCTGGTAAATGTGCGGGGGAAATTCGTCGAGCTTTCTCGTTTGTTTGTTTGGCTTGTTTTGAACTTTCAAGTACTATTGACATTTTTCTTTTTTCTGCAACAGAACTTTCTTGACTTCCAGAAACTTTCTGTATCTGCTCATTTCAGCTATAGTGAGCAGCTCTGAGTTTTCAGCCACTGTCTTGCCCTGATTATTGGAAGGAAAGAATTAAAAGCTGGAAAGAAAGCTCCACCCCACTTTGGTGACATCACTGTAACTGAACAAATATTGCTTTAGGCGAATTGCAATGAAACTCCCCCCAGCCCCCAGATTACAGACTTTTAGAGTCTGTTTCAACTGTGTAGGTTATCACACACGTCTGGAAATTAACTGTGCATAGCAACGACGTACAGAAGACCTAAGCTGTAAACAGGGAGGCGACATCCTGTGGAGAGCAGGTGTGTGCATGATGGTTCTTGACTAACAAGATTGATGGATGGCTTTCCCTGCTGCCTTCCTCCAGATCCGGGGCTTCTAACTCCCAGAGCCAGCAGCAGGTGGTGGCATTGCCAAATCTCCTCATCCTCCCTCTTTGCTGTCTAGGGACTGGAAAGGAACACATGGTCCCGTCTTCCCAAGTTATAGGCACTCTCAGGTGTAAACCCAAGTTCTAAATATGTGGGATGGGAGAAACTCCAAAAGGTCTCAGAGAGAAAGGAAAGGTGAAGCCTTCCAGTGTTGAGAGGTTAGCATTAAGTTGAAGCAAACCCTCCAATCACATAATAGAGGGAAAAAAAACCCGGCTCCCAAATGGACAGTTTGAGCACCCAAATGAGTGTGTTGGCCTCACTGATTGATTTCCTGTGGCCGCAAAGGGTACCGCCTGCTTTCCTGGGGACAGGCAGGCCTGTTCGCTTTTATGAGTTTGGCAAGTGTGTAGGAGAGCAGAAATAGTGGGCTCTCCCCTGTGGAGCTGTACCACAAAAGCCCGGGGCCAGGGAGCTTGTTGGACAATGCAGACACTTGTTTTCTACAGAAGAGAAACATCAAAAAGGTGTGGAGGAGAGAGGGAGTTCAGGACCCCCTGGCCTTGTGAAGAAGACCAGAGGGTAGGTCCATGTGAAAGAAAGTCCCAGAATGCCGTGGGCCCCCGTGGGAGGGCCCCTGTCGGAGTCTTACAGTGCAGAACATCCCTGCAATCTGAGAACATTACTTAATGTCCCCCCCTGGCCCCCACACGCAGTGCTTTCCCAGGCTATTGCCCGAGGCCTTCAGCTGGTGCCATTTTTCCTGGGTCATTGATTTTTTTTTCTTTTTTCTTTTTGGCATGGAGATTCTAGCATTAGATCGCTTAATAATCCGGAGGCTGCATGGTGCCCCCCTCCTCCCCCTGCGCGTATGACTTGGGCTAATCGTCCCCAAGCCTGCTGAGGTCCAGGCTCCCTGATACTCTCTTCCCTCTGAAGACTGTGGGCTTCCAGGCTGTGGTGGCCACTGAAAAGCTACCAACACTGCGTTAAAAATGTATCCCGGGGCAGACACCATGGCTCAGTGGGTAAAGGCACTCGTCACCAAGCCTGATGACCCGAGTTCGTATCCAGACCCACACAGTTGAAGGAGAGCACACAGGCAGAAGCAGGCAGAGCTCTGAGTTCAAGGCCAGCCTGGACTACAGAGAAGAGTTCCCGGACAGCCAGTCTACACAAAGAAACTGTCTTGCAAAACAAAAACAAACAAGGAACAGTGGCTGTTCTTCCACAGGGCGAGGATCAGTTTCCAGCACCTGTATGTTGCAAGTCCCCTTCCAGGGCATCCAATGTACTCTTCTAGTCTCTAGCATCAGACATACATGTGGTACGTGTACATACAAGCAAGCAAACACATATACACATAACTTTTTAAAATTCTTTTTAAAGCTCTTAAATGTTCCCTCTCCCTCCCCTCCTCCCACACCCCCCACCATCCCCCCCAGCCTCCCACCCTATCCCTACTTCCTTCCACATAGAGGATATCCAGAGCCTGTCATTTCACTCAGGGCAGGGTCCAGGCCCTCCCCCTAAGAGTCCAGGCAGAGAGAGCATGGACACACAATGTCCGTTTGTATGCCAGGGATAAACACTGATCCACTGCTCAGGACCCCATAGGTTGCCCAGGCCTCCTCACTGACTCTCACATTCAGGGAGTCTGGATCAGTCCCATGCTGGCCTCCCAGCTGTTGGTCTGGGGTCCAAGAGCTCCCCCTTGTTCAGGTCAGCTGTCTCTATTGGTTTTGCCAGCCCATTCTTTACCCCTTTGCTCATCACTCCTCTCTCTCTGTCACTGGGTTCCGTAGATTCAGTTCAGTGTTTAACTGTGGGTGTTTGCCTCTGCTTCCGGCAGTCACTGGATGAAGGTTCTAGGATGGCATATAGGGTAGACGTCAAGTTCATTATCAGGAATGGGCATTCAAGGTGGTCTCTCCACTATTGCTTATCTTGCCCCCATCTGCATTTTATGATGCCTCAGTTATATTGCCCTTTAACCCGGGGGTTATTGTCACTTAAAAAGTCATGCTACCGCACGAAAAGCCAGCTTATGCCAGAAGACAAGCAAACTGAATGCTTGAAGTGCTGTGGCTGTTGCGGAAGAGCAAGGGTCTCGAGCTGCCTGTCTGTCTCCCTGGAAAGCAGCCGCATCTGAGAGATGCCAGCACCTCCGGCCCCTTCTGCGGCAAAGAGGTGTCTCAGCTCACAAGTGTGCCGTTATTGATGGCTGTGGTCTCCCGGGTGCTGGACAGGAAAGGGCAGCCCAGCAGCAGTTCCCCCGGGAAAAGACAGCAAGAGGAAAGGGATTAATTGAGTTCAGTGATTGATTTCAGCCCTGAAGCAGCCCCCGGGTGAGTATTAGTCTCATTTACAGACAAGAACTTGGCCTTGGGTAGGCTCAAAATACCCCAGCTAGTAGAACAAGAGCTACCCCAACATTGAGCTGGGGCTAGCCCAGGGGACTTGGCCTTTGATGGTGTTAAGGAACAGGACAACACTTTGCCTAGCCTTTCTAGATAATTCCTGGAGTGACCACTGCTGTCTCAGTGTCTACTGAGGAAACACAGCTTCCCATCATAGTGGTTAAGAAGAGGCTGTAGCTATGGGGGATGCATGTGATGGTTCTGGTCACCTCTCGGTATCTCCCGAGGAGTGATTCAAGGACCCCCGTGGGCCTCCCGAGTGCTGGGATGAAGGGCCTGCCCCACCACTGCCCAGTCAAATGCTCCTTTCTATAACGCCATATCGTCTGCATATAAACTACACAGCTTCTCTTGCGGACTTTCAGCCATTGTGTACCATCCCCCAAACAGCCCAAGCTCTACTCAGATAGCATTTATATTTCTAAGAGCATGGTCACAAGAAAAATGAATCTGTACCCATACAGAACAGGCACAAGCTGTGTGTGTGTGTGTGTGTGTGTGTGTGTGTGTGTGTGTGTGTTTGAGGAAGATTCTCATGTTGCTAACTTGCCTCCAACTTGATATGTAGCTAGCTGAGGATGTATGTCTTTGAACTCCTCATGTTCTATCTTTGCCTCCTGAGTGCCAGGATCCCCAGGAAACACCACCAGAATCAGCTTCAGGTGTGCACGTGTATAATCAAAGGTCAAAGGTCATGCGTTGTGGCGCATGCCATTAGTCCTAGCACTCAGAAGCAGAGACAGGCAGAACTCTTTGAGTTTGAAGTCAACCTGGTCTACGTAGTGAGTTCTAGGCCAGCCAGAGCTCTATTACAAATAAACAAGCAAATGTCTGACCTGCCGTGGGTTTGGATCCTTCAGTATTTCCCATGCACATATGGA